ATTAGCTTAACAAGAACCATACTGTATTTTTACAGCTTTACTGAAGTATAATTTACATACCATAAAATTTCCTCCTTTTAAATGTACAATTCAATGAGTTTTAGTAAATGAGTTATAGACTTGTACAGCCATTACCATAATCCAGTATTAGAATCATACTCTACATGGGGTGCCTGGAAGGCTCAGGTGGTTAAGCGTCCAACTTCAACTCAGGTCAGGATCTCCCGGTTTGTGGGTTCAAGCCCCGCGTTAGGTTCCATGTTGACAGCTCAGAGCCTGGAGCCTGCTTCAGATTCTGTGTCTCCCTTTCTCTCCGCCCCTCCCCAACTTATGCTGTGTCTCCGTCTCTCTCTCAAAAATAAATAAATATCAAAAAAAAATTTTTTTAAAGAATCATACTATACATTTATTAAACTGTTACCAACCTCACCTATGTAAAGTAACCAAATAACTCATAATACCAACAACTCGAAAGGTTTTTCGATCTGCTATTTTTAAAAAAGAGAACAGATTTAATCTACTTTCAATAAACACAAAATTACCTAAAGGAAAAATGCTAAAACTATTTTAAACATACTGAAAGAATCATGCTGAGGAGGATTTAAACCGTCCTCCTCATAATCTTGTCCACAACATTAACCTGGCAGACTACTATAGATAGCACCTATGTAAAATTAAGCAGAGTCCCTGTTTATGTTTTGAACTCCAAATTAGTGAAATAAGTTTTGCTGAGGTTCTACTATAGTTAATAAAAACCTGACACGTGTGACTTCTAAAATGAAGATGATTTGCAAGTGAGTATAAAACCAATCAGGAGCGCCTGGGTGGCTCAGTCGGTTGAGCGCCGACTTCGGCTCAGGTCACGATCTCGAGGTCCGTGAGTTCAAGCCCCGCGTCGGGCCCCTGTGCTGACAGCTCAGAGCCCGGAGCCTGTTTCAGATTCTGTGTCTCCCTCTCTCTGACCCTCCCCCGTTCATGCTCTGTCTCTCTCTGTCTCAAAAATAAATAAATGTTAAAAAAAATTTAAAAAAAAAATTTTAAAAAAAATCATAAATACTTGATAGCAAATATTCACCTACAAAATAGCTCAGTATCTGCAATATTTCTCAAAAAATATGAATTGATATCAGCCTCTTTTAAAAAAACTTTTTTTACATTTTCCTAAACTACCGGTTAAGTATATAAGTACACATTCATTATGGCATGATATATAACAAAGTATTCTATAATCTTTTAGTGATCAACATGAAAAAAATGAGAATGAAGAATCAGTTGAACCTATAGCTGGTTGAACTACCAAGTGTCTTAAGTGACCTAAGACAACTTGGAAGTATCTGTCCCAGATCTCTGACTCTGTCTTTGTCCACTTTAAGGTATGATATTGACAAAATAGTATATATGTAGTCCAAATTCCAGGCATACAGCTCCGAAAACTCTTAGGATTTCCCAAGTGATGGAGGCGAGAGAAGTGTCTTTGTTATCCATAATAAGTTCCTTTCAACCATACCAGAATTTATGCTAATGAATGACTCTTGGAGGTGAGGGATGGTTGCAAGGGAACCAACCATATAAGTAAAAGATTGGAACTTTCAGCTCCAAACCAGATCCCTGAGGGGAGAAGAGGTGAGGATCACATTAGTCACCAATGGCTGATGATCTAATCAACTGTGCCTACAAAATGGAGATTAAACTAGGGTCCAGAGAGCTACCAAGTTAGTGAACACATCAAGGTGTGGAGGCTTGTGCACCTGGAGAGGGCATAAAAGCTCTATGCCTATTCCTCATATCTTGCCCTATGTATCTCTTTCATTTGACTGTTCCTGAGTTATACCTTTTATAATAAACTGATGATAGTAAAGTGTCTCCCTAAGTTCTGTGAGCTGTTCTAACAAGCTGTCAAGCTTAAGGAGGGAATTGTGGGAACTCCTGATTCCAGAGATATGGGAAACGTGGAATTGTGACTGGCATGTGAGTGGAAGGCAGTCTTGTAAGGCAGAGCCCTTCATCTGTGAGGTCTGTGTAAACTGGGAAGATAGTGTCAGAACTGAATTAGACTGTAGGACATCTAGTTGGTATCTACAGAGAATTGGAGAATTGCTCGATATTGAAAACAACGCATCTGGTGTCAGAAGTGTTCTGAGTGTTCTAAGCTTTCCTTGAAATATTTTTTGTTAATGCTTTCAACAAGAGCACCAGTGACCAACTAGACCAAACTGACAACACTAGAGACTGACAGCTGAAAGGGATACCAAATCAAAATCTAAACTATGAAGGCACGAAAACAGACACTCAGATCAATGGAACAGAATAGAGAACCCAGGAATGGACCCACAAACATATGGCCAACTAATCCTTGACAAAGCAGGAAAGAATATCCAATGGAATAAAGACAGTCTCTTCAGCAAGTGGTGCTGGGAAAACTGGACAGCGACATGCAGAAGAATGAACCTGGACCACTTTCTTACACCATCACAAAAATAAACTCAAAATGGATGAAAGGCCTAAATATAAGACAGGAAGCCATCAAAATCCTAGAGGA